TACCTGTAGCCACCTAGATTTGCAAAATGACTGAGGTACAAGGGGATTCTGTGGGAGATCATTTGTGGTGGCAAAACGCTCAAAATCCCCCTCCCAAAAATCAAATTAGTTAAATAAGTTCTGTGACATCCATATACAGTCATAAAGCGTTTTTTTTTTTTTTTCCCTCCCAGGTTCAAGCAATTCTTCTGCCTCAGCTTCCCAAGTAGCTGGGTTTACAGGCACCTACCATGATGCCTGGCTGATTTGTATTTTTGTAGAGACAGGGTTTCACCATGTTGGCCAGGCTGGTCTTGAACTCCTGACCTCAGGTGATCGGCTGCCTCAGCTTCACAAAGTGCTGGGATTCCAGATGTGAACCACCTCACCTGGCCAAGAAGCAGCTTTCTATGTACTGATACAACAAAACCTTACAGTAGATAGCTAGGTGGAAAATTAAGACTCAGGGGCAGAGTGCATGCATGCACCACCACCTGGGGGAAAGAATCTATATGTGCCTTTCCTAACACATGCATGGGACTGCTAACATTGCCTCCAAGGTGGAGATGGAGGGTGAAAACTCTTCCTAGTGAGATCCTTAACCCACTTCTCTTTCTGGCTTTTTCACTCTCTCCTCACTTCTACTGACACATTTTTGGAAAAACTGTCTGCCAGCTGCCTCTCTTCCCACCTGCTGCCCATTCCTCAACCATCTCAGTCTGGTTTCTCCCCGTAGCACTTCTCAATGCCCAGCCACTTCTCATTCCTCACCTCACTCGCTCGTGCTCCGCAGGCTTCACAGTGGGCCGTGCCCTGCGTCTGGAGCCCTCTTCCACGGGCCTCCACAGCCCCATTCTCCCTGGGGTTCTCCACTCTCTCTCTCGGAACGTGTTCCCCATCTCTAAATGTTGGAGCTCCTGCCGCTCCCTGCCAGGCCCTGCTCTCCACGCTCCCCTTCTCAGCCCACAGGCTCTCCTGGGGCTGTCCCATCCATGCAGGGCTTCTCTCATCACCTGTACGCATATAGCTTCCAACTGTGTATCTCCAACCAGACCTCTCTTCCGAGCTCAGGACTCCACCTGCTGTCTCCCAAGTATCTCCAACCCAACATGCCCCAAATGTAATTCACCAGCTTCTAGTCGGTTTCATTCTCTGCACCTGGGGGATTTCTTTAGCACTGTCATGTCCAAACCCTTTCAGTCATCAGAACCTAGAGTGTTCCCTCTTGAAAATCCCTAGAATCTGACCCTTCTCTCCCCGCTTCACCGCTGCTCGCCTAATCAAAGCCTTCCCCACTCATTCAGTGAGGAAGCTACACCAGGTTCCTCACTGCTGCCTCGGTGCTCTCTCCCACCTCAGGGCCTCTGCACTTGCTGGAACCTGTGCCTTGATTACTCTCCTCCACTCTCCACCCCTGCTGTACCCTCATTGATTCCTATCTATCTTCTGGAACTCAGATTAACATTAACTACCTCAAAGAAACCTTTTTTGACGCCTAGACCGATGGATCTCACCCGGGGTGGTTTTGCCCCCCATTAGACATTTGGCAATGTTTGGAGACATTTTTGGTTGTCACAAGCAGGGGGTGGGTGTGGTGGCTACTGGCATCTGTTGCATCGCAGCCATGGACGCTGCTAAACATCCTCCAGTGTACAGGACAGTCCCACATGACAGAGAATTATCTGGCCCAAAATGTCAGCAGGGCCAAGGTGAGAAATCCTGCCCTAGCCTGTCATGTCCCCACAACACATTTCCATAACACACTCCATTTCTCCTGCACACCTGCTATCACCATTCAGTCTTTAGCTGTGCAAAGGTATTGGCCAGGTTCCACTCTCTGAGCTTGATGGGATGAATAAATTAATGAATGTCACTGAGTCATGTTGACCTCTGGATCTCCACCCACAGCGTCCAACCCAAGCATACATCCTCAAGCTTGTCCGAGAGAATGTGTGTATTGATATGAAATGCCCGGGGCAGGGATTCAGCCACACTGAGCAGAGGCCACCCCATGTCCTATCCGCTAACTCTGCAGGGCCCTTCAGGTGACCTGATGGCAGTCCTTGCCTTGGCCCTTGACCGGCTTCTCACCCCGTACTCAGCACCTAGCTCTGCACTACCTTTGCACACTTGTCAATCCCTCGCCTCTCAGTTCATCTCCCTGTGGTTCTGTGGGCCCTTTAAAGCCCCCAGGCCTAAATCCATCTACTCATCTTGTCACACCAGCTGCTCCTCCAGTGAGCTTACCCAGGTGGCTGTGCTACCGTCAACCCAGCCACAAACCAGAATTCTGGGCACCCTTGTGCAGCAAAGCACCCCTCATACCTGCTCCCTCCACCTCCCCACCGAAAGCCGCAGGGACCCCCAGCTTTTTCCTACTCGCTCTTCTTGCCTCAGGCCTCTTTCTCTCTCAGTCCACCTGGGACATTCCTCCCAACTGTCCTTCTAAGATGACCATCGGCCTGTCTCACTTTCTGATGAAAACTCCCTGGACATTTCTCACTGTCCACAGGGCAGAGCCCAAGTTCTCCAGCCTCACGTGGGGGTGGATGAAGGGTGCAAGACCTTCCATACTTTCCCCAGCCCCTTCCACCCTCCATGGCCTCATCTCCTGCCCCAAGCACCAACACCTCGGTGCCCCTTTCATCAGGCAGCTTGGGCTTTTCCCTTCCCTCCTCTCCCCTCCCTTTCCCTCTGAGGTGCCCAGAGATCCCTCACTCATCCTTAAAACCTAGTTCAAACACCGCTTTCTCAATACTGCGGCAGTTCTCCAAAACTTCAACGTAGAATCACCATATGATCCAGATACTCCACTCGTGGGCATGCATCCAAAGGACGTGAGCGCAGGGATGCAAACAGATATTTGCATGTTCACAGCAGACAAGAGGTGAAGCAACCAAAGTGTCAGTAACAAATGATAAACAAAATGTGGTATATTCCGGGAGGCGAAGGGTGCAACCAGCCAAGATCGCAGCACTGCACTCCAGCCCGGGTGACAGAGCAAGACTCCCTCTCTCAAAAAGAAAAAAGAAAAAGTTGTGTATGTATAATGGAATATTATGCAGCCTTAAAAAGGAAGGAAATTCTGTCACATGCCACAACATGGATGGACCTTGAATACACTGTGCTAAGTGAAATTAGCCAGTCACGAGAAGACAAGTACAACATGATGCCACTTGCAGGAGGTATCTACAGTGGTCGAGTTCGTAAAAAGACAGAAAGGAGAATGGTGGTTACCAGGGTTGGGGTGAGGGGAAATGGGAAATTAGCGTTTATTGGGTACAGAGTTTCAATTGGGAGATGACAAAAAGGTGTGGAGATGGGTGGGGGTGACGGCTGCGTACCAACGGGAAAGCACTTAATGACGGTGGGTTTCGAGCTTTAAAGATGATTAAATGGTTAATCTTATGTTTTGTATGTTTTACCATAATAACAAAAAGGCAATAACAAAATAGCAAAACAAAAAATCCACGTCTTCCTCTCAGGAAGCTCCCTGAACATTTCCACCACCTCCCCAAACATGTGTGTTGCCCCTGCCGCCCACCCCCAATTCCCCACGACACAGCTGGGTGCAGCTGCCCACACCCTGCTCCATGCATTCCATGCACATTCCCAGTACCCTGCAGGGACGGCCTCATGTCTGCCCTCCCAGATGGAGGGGTTCTGCAGGCAGGCACTCTGTCTCATTCCCCTCTCCTGCCCCACAACCAGCCCCCGTCCAGAGCAGAGCTTCTTCAATGAAGGAGTAAATCTCCCAAAGCCACAGTTCTGGGTTAGGACCATCCCAAACCTCACAGCCTGTTGTCTCCAGAACAGTGATTTACTTCTACTGTTCATCAACAAACCCCTCCCCCTGCCAAAGACCTTCCATCCGTCCATTAAGCAACAAGGTCAGAAGGGGGAATTCTGTAGGCGAAGTTAATAAACAGCTAACTTGGGAGAAATAAACAAAATAAAAACCCGGGGTAGGCCGGCACAGACATGACCTTGCATCTAATGACAGCACGCTCCACCCTCTCTCCCTCCTCTGCTTGGTGGGTGGGCTGATTCACTTCCTGTGTCCCCTCCCAGGGCAGCGTGAGAGGGGAAAGTTGGGGGGCTGAGTCCTAGGGCATGGATAGATGATTAGTCACCACGCTGCCCTGCACTGGAAGGCCACTGACCTTAGTGTGTGGGCCCAGACCACAGATCTCTCTCCCCATCACTCCGAGCCCCGGCCCCCACCCCAATTTATATAACCCAAGGTCTGGAAAGCGAAGGGAACTGGCTTTGGCTGTCAACATGAGGTCCAGGGGGCCCCTCCACCTGTAAGTCCCTGCATGGCCCACCTATTGACTCTTCATTCACACAGTCCACGTTCATGGAACACGCTGGGAAGAGAAAACAGTCTCCCCCGTCCTGAGGATGATCATTGGGAGGGTCTTCTGAGATCATTTAACCTAGGGGTCTAAACCAGAGATGGGGCGTCCTCAAGAGGACATTTGGCAATGTCTGGAGACAGTTTTGTTTGGCAGGAAGGGAAGGGGACGTGCTGCTGTGCTGTCTGGTAGGTAGAAGCCAGGGCTGCTGCTCACCTCCCACAATGCACAGCACCCTCCCCTCCAATGCACCCCACAAAGAATTATCCAGTCCCAAAAGGCAATAGTGCTGAGGTTAAGCTGTACAGAAGAGGAAACTGAGGCATATGGAGAAAGGATCAAAGTCACACTGTGCATTAGATAGTGTCAGAATTAGAATCCAGGGCTCTCTACCAACCACACTAGCCTTCAGCTCCCAGGAGTGCAGTGACCAACTCCAAGACCAGTGGAAAGCTAGTGGAGTGGCTGAATTTGGGACTCTGGGGTCCAGAAGCCGTCATCGCTGGGCTTTGTGTCTCTGGCAGGCTCCAAATGAATCCCACCAAAGTGAGCTGATCATCTTGGCCTCAGGGCTCCCAAATAATCAGAAGAAGACTGTCTTAAGGGGCTACAGTGTGTCCAGGCAGAATGACCCTCCCTGTCTGAGGCTTGGGCAAAACTTACCCCTTAAGTCCATAGCATGCTGGAGGTGGTCCTGGCTGAGGTCAACATCAGAAGAGAGGGTGACTGTGTAAGGCAGAACCTGGGTTGGAGGACAGGACATGGGTAAGAATTAAACCTTGGATCACTGCTTTGTGGCACTTTCTTTTTTGCTAGATGCCAACAATGATGGTTGATCTCTTGAACCTGCTGGACCCTCACTGCCATCCTGCTTAATTTCAAACTGACATCCCTTACCCTTTTCGCCAAGGAGCCCACACCGTGTCTCCAGCTGTGAGCCAGAAGCCAGGGCACCAGAGCTGACGGTGCAATCCCATTATTTCTGAACAACTGACTCACATCATGTTGCAACAGGCGTACTTTTCCATCCACTGTGGCTGAAAGTCAGCAAACTTGTAGTAACCGTGGTAATAAAAAGAAGGCCAGGGCAGCAGTGCATGAAGCTCCGTCTTAGGTCAGGTCGTCACCCTCTTCAGGAGCAAGGAGCCCACAGACAGTGGTTGGGGACAAGGATGGTGGGGTAGGGGGGGGCCTACAATGGCCTCAGTCACAGAAGGCACCATTACAGACCCGTTTCTTCTGGCAAAGCATTATCGCTGCTCCCTCACCTGCCTGCCCCCTTCCTTCTTAATGTTTCCAAAAAGCTGGAAAGCTCCTACATATCCTTCAGTGCTTAATTTCTGGAGTCCCTCCCCCAACTCCAAGGTTCCGGTGCATTCCAACCCTGAATTTGGCAGACCACAGTAACGATGGAAAAAGATGTTTGGGGTCAATAGCAGGGCTTGGGGGGAAAAGCCAAAGCTCCCCATGGATGAAACGTAGAGGCCTGTACAAGATCTGTTCCTCTGTGGGGTGGTGTGGGCGGGGCGCCATGCTGAGCACCGAGGCCTCTAGCTTCTCTCACCAGAGAAGCCTCAGAAGCCCAGGCTTCCCTGGGCCTCTGGCTGCACTTCTCAGACTGGTTGTTTATCCCTAGTCCAAGTCCATGGGAACTCCACCCCTTCTCCCAGGGCTGCCTGGAGCCTGGCTTTGGACTTCCTTAGTTCTCCGGTGCACTGAGGAATTTATTTATTTATTGGATGTGCTTTTTTTTTTTTTTTTTTTTTAATTGCACTGGGGAATTTTTAAAGGTTACTCGCAGAGGGCACTAGTTTCACCAAGGGAGAACTCACTAGCAGAGGAACTGGCTGCCTTGGGAGAGCGGCCCTAGGAGGTTTCCTTTGAGGATGGAGGTCTGATGGGGATGATTCCTCCCTGGAACTCTCCAATCACCTTACACGGCAGCTGTCCGTTCAGTCTGGGAGGGGCCCCTCTGGGAAACTCCAGAGGCAGCTGGCCTGAAGTTTCTTGCCAAGGGCCTCTTAAGCACCCCTAGCATCCAAGGTAGTTCAAAGTGGGGGACAGAGACCCAACTTTAAATTAACTTGAGTCTATTTAGGAAAAGCTCCAGCTCTGCCTCCAAGAGTCACTCCTCACCTCTGGGTCTCGGTCTCCCCATCTGTAAACTGAGAACGGGTGCGTTGGATGTGTTCATCTACTCAGCACTTGTGAGCACCTACTACATTCTGACCCCTAGGGATAGACCAGGGAATGAGAGAGGCAGAAAGCCTTGCCCTCACAGAGCTGATATTCTAACAGGGAAGACAGATGGCAAAGAAGATTAAAGAGGGAAATCTATAGACTGTCAGAAGGGGATATGAGCTATGGAAAATGAAGGAGAGAAGAAGCAGGAGGACACAGGTGCTAAGGCTTAGTTCAGCTTAGAGACTCTGGGTTTAAATCCCTTACTCTGCCAGATCCTTGGTAGGAGCCAAGAATGGTGGCGGGAAACTGGGCAGGGCCATGTGTGAGTACAGGGACAGCTCTCGGGGATGGTGGGGGTGGTAGGTTTGTGCACGGGCTTGAGCCCCAGTCAGTCTCTCAATGGCTTCCCCCAGGGAACAGAACTGACCAATCGTGGCATGCTGGCCTGTCCTCGGGTCAAAGGCAGACACCTGGGTCTGCTGAGGAGTCCAGGGATCACACAGGGTTCTGGGGGCAGGGCCTCAAAAGTCCTGACTGAGGGGAGGATTTCTTCAAAGCAGGGTGGGCGGCATCCTCAGGGCACTGCCAAGGACTCTTCTACATCCTTCAGTCTGCCCTGGTCTTCGATGAACAAGACACTGGCCACCTCCACCTACAGGGGCTCTCAGAACCTTCCTTCCCTCCAACTGACCCTCCCCTCACGTGAGGAGGGAGGGAGAGGGATTTCAAAGTCCCCATTTCTGGCTGGGCACAGTGGATCACACCTGTTATCCCAGCACTTTGGGAGCTAGAGGCAGGCAGATCGCTTGAATTCAGGAGCTCGAGACCAGCCTGGACAACACAGTGAGACCTCACCTCTACAAAAAATACAAAAATTAGCCAGGCCCGATGGTGTGTGCTACAGTACTAGCTGCTGAGGAGGCTGGGGTAAGGAGGGTAGCTTGAGCCCAGGAGACGGAGGTTGCAGTGAGCAGAGATCGTGCTACTACACTCCAGCCCGGGTGACAGAACAAGACCCTGTCTCAAAATTGTGTGTGTGTGTGTGTGTGTGTGTGTGTGTGTGTGTATACACATGTCTATGTGCAAGGACGCTGGGCTAAAAAAACAAAAGACTCCCCCGATTTCTTATGAATTCACAATTTCTCTTCCTGTAGGGATTATTTTCGAAAATATGTCTCGCAAACCTTCTGTGTGCTCAGGATGAGTGAGGGATGCCAAGATGCTGTGAACAAACTCAGAGCCAACTGCAGAGGCTAGGCGGACACACGTGAGAACGCAAGTCCGCTCTTACAGTCTGTTTCGCAGCCTACAGAGCGCTTTGGAACCGCTTACTTATCTCCTAAAACCACGCAGGGTCTGCTGTTCTCGTTTTGCAGATGAGGAAATTGAGGCCCAGAAAAGCACCTTCTCTTCCCCCAATTCATAGCTGCCCCAATGGAGTGGTAAAGAGAGAGAGAAGGCAATGCAGATTAGAATTTCCAAATAATTCCAATTCTTACCCCTGAAGGGATAGGTAAGAATTCTATGTCAAGAGACAAAGTTGCTCTGCCTCCAGTCTAGGGTAAGGCTAAGCTGGGCACGGAACCCACCGGCCCCTGCCTCTCCTTGGCAGGACAAGATGTGGGTTGAGGATAAATCCAAAGTACCCTGTCTCTCTGGAAAAGCACATGGGGGCTGGACACGGTGGCTTATTCCTGTAACCCCAGTACTTTGGGAGGCCAACGCAGGTGGATCACCTGAGGTCAGGAGTTTGAGACCCACCTGGCCAACATGGTGAAACCCTGTCTCTACTAAAAATACAAAAATTAGCCGAGCATGGTGTTGGGCACCTGTAATCCCAGCTACTTGGGAGGCTGAGGCAGGAGAATTGCTTGAACCTGGGAAGTGGAGGTTGCAGTGTGCTGAGCTGAGATTGTGCCCCTGCACTCCATCCTGGGTGATAGAGCGAGACTCAGTCTCAAAAAAGAAAGAAAAAAGCACATAGGATTAAGGATGTGCTTTTGGTGTAAGGAGAAAAAGTTACTCCACGTGGGTAAGGGTGCCTAGGGATCACAGTGGCGGGGCTGAACACCTTTCTGATCCAACTTTTCAGAGTGCCCTTTCTGTTTGCCAAGGGCAGAGATAAGGCAGCTGGAAAAGAAGCTTTGCTGTTGCAGGCGAATTCACTCCATTCTCGAAGAGCACCTTCCCTGTGCCAGGTACTATGGCTATGGCAGGAAACAAAGCAGGTCCCTGCCCTCCTGCAGTTCTGGGAGCTTAGCAAGGCACTGACTGGCTCTTGGAGGACATTCCTGACTGGAGTTTGTGTCTGCCTGGAGGTGCCCTGTCCCGTGAACCCCTTTCACAGGAAGAACCTAGGAGAGTGGGGAGTATGGGGGAAGAAATAAACCCCTGCTGAGTCAAGGGCACTGCAAGAATGCAGAAGCAACCATCCTGCTCTGGAAGGCTGCCGTGGGGCATCCTCCACTCAGTGCTGGAGAAAAGTCCATCAGTTTCTCCAGCAAATGGCTGCGCCTCGCTGGGCCTCCTTGTCTTCTCATCCGCCCATGTGCTGATATCTGCTTGCCATTTGTTTGTTAGGTTCAAATGACATCAGGGGTGTGTCCCTGCTGGCTGCCAGCTCTTCTCAGATCCCCTGACCAATCCCCATCTCTTCTCTCTGGCTCTGCGTGGGAAGGGGCAGTTGTCACCCCCCCGACCCCCACTAAGCTGAGCCCTCCTCCCATCCTAAGCGGGAGGAAGCCGGTTCTGCTCCTGGATGAGAGTTACCGGGCTCCTGAGCTCTGGCTCTGCTGGGCTGGGGTTCACCCCCTCTCCTGGGCTCCTCCGACGGGGACTGGAAGTGCTGGGGGAGCCAAGAGATGCTCAGCTGAGAGCTGTGGCCAGCGGGGAGGCCAGTGACAGAGCATAGGGAACTCCCTGGAGCTGGGCACCCAATTCGGCAGGGCTGGGACCGACCCCCGAGGGTAGAGGGCCGCCCCTCACCCACACTGTCCCGCTCAGCCCCGGCTCACATCTGGGCTCAGGAAGCGGGAAGCCCAGATGTAAAGAAGTCGCCAACTGTGCAGCCCCAATCCCAGGCTTTTATTAAAGTGGGGGGTGGCGGGAGCGGGGCGGTGGAGGAAAGGTGAGCCGCGCAAACGCCCTGGAGAGTGAGAGAAAAGGTGCTGCCAGGCAAGACACCCCCCCACCCGGGCACCCCATGGCAGCAGAGAGCCTTGTGCAAGGCGGCGGCCGCCCCACCTTCACACCGGCCCCTGCGTGAGACGAAAGTGGCCGCGCCGCCCGCTGCCCAGTCAGGGCCGCCCGGGCTCAAACTTTCCGAGACCCGCGCTCGGAGTGGCCACCCGGGCTCCACCGCGCAGGGCCGCGGCGGGCGGGTGTGCGTGGACCCGGAGGCGGGGAGGCCGGGCGCGGCGGGGAGTCCCGCCAGGGGTTACCTGGGTTCTGAGGGTCTCGGCGTCCGGGGACAGGGCGCGGGGACCGCACAGGCGGGACGGAGAATGGATGTTCCTCCTGGGCCGCGGCGACCCCAGACTCGCCGGCGCTGCACCTGGTCCTGCGGGTCGCCGCGCCTACCCACGCCCGTCCCAGCCCGTCCCCTCCCGCGCGGGGCGGGGCGGCCCCAGGGGAGGAGCCGAGGGCTGTGGGCACCACTCCCTGAGCCAGGCCTGCGCCTCATCACGTGCCACCGACCCTGTGTCTTTGACCTCCAAAGGCTCGCCACCCCACTACCCCCCACTCCACAGCCTGAGGTGCCACCAAAGTCATAAGCCAGGGAATCAGGGGGCGTGCTAGGCCTCTCACACCCCATTCTTTTAGGGCACATGTACCCCAGTCCACCTCCACCCCAGGAGCCGAGGGACGGCAGGGAGGCTTCAGAGCTTCCTTGAGGCAAGGAGAGCTACAGAGCTTGCCCGTCGAAAACTGCTTGGGGTGGAGTGCAGGGACGGAGAGAAAAAACTGGGTGCCCGCAGCCCCACCGCAGGGTCCCCTTCCCTGGTGGGAGAGGTTTCCGGCCGCTCTGAACCCTTGAAGTGACTTCCACCCCTCCCTCTTGGAGTGCTGCAGGGAGGCGGAGGGGGGGAATCCTCTGCCAGCCCTCACCCTTTCCCCAGGTCTCCTGTCGAAGATTACAGGCTCCTAGACTGCAAGGTGCTGGGCCCAGACCTCTGCCACTCAGTGGACACAGCGATAAGAGATGAGCGACACAGAGGGCAAACACACATTTGACTTCGGGAACCGGCCTCTGTGGCTTCTTTCAGGTGCTGAAGGAACAGGTTGCAGGTACCTCATGCCCCCACTCGGATCCTGCCAGAGAAAGGTTGGAGCATCCACCCCTGTGGACCAAACTCCCCACCAGGATCCGTCCTTCCACACTTCAGCCCCAGGCTCTCTGAGCTCCTGCTCCTCCCTGCCTTGCCTTGTTTGCTGAGGGCCCAGACAGTGGAGAGAGCACAGGACCGGGAGTCCAGAGACCTGGGCTCTAGTCTACTCTGGGACTTGGGGCAAGTCTCTGGACCTTTGTGGGCCTAGGTTGCCCCATTTGCAGTGAACAGGTTGCAGTCAATTACCTCTGGCTGTTTTTGTGGATCCGGAATCGTGGTATCGGGCACCTTGGTTTATTAGGCTTTTTGGTGGCTGTGCATCTTGTAAGGGTGTGTGTGTGTGCATGTGTGTGTGCACACTTGTCCTCTCAGACCTAAGTTCTTTATTTGCTTTTTGAGACAAGATCTCACTCTTGTTGCCCAGGGTTGGAGTGTAATGGTGCATTCTCGGCTTACCACAACCTCTGCCTCCTGGGTTCAATCAATTCTCCTGCCTCAGCCTCCGGAGTAGCTGGGATTACAGGCGTGCACCACCACACCCGGCTAATTTTGTATTTTCAGTAAAGAAGGGGGTTTCTCCATGTTGGTCAGGCTGGTCTTGAACTCCCAACCTGAGGTGATCCTCCCACCTCAGCCTTCCAGTGCTGGGTTACAGGCGTGAGCCACTATGTCTGGCCTCAGATCTAAGTTCTTAAAGAGAAAGAGCCTGGAGACTACCCAGAGACAGGTATGTATATTCTGCAGACCAGAGCTTGACGAGAATGGGCACAAGGAGAGTGGAACTCAGTCCCAGCTCTATGCTGAATTCAGAGTAGCCTTAAACAAGCCCCTCACCATCTACAAAACGGAGATTAACAATCCCTGCTTTGCCTTTCCAAGGCTAGTCGGGGGACTCGGTGAGATATTAGATATGAAGCTCTTGAAGGGGATAGCACAGGGCTGTGTGCCTTCTGACACCACCTTTTGATGCCTGGGCCAGTGATGCGTTCAGGGGCAGAATAGGCTGTGAAGCGTTCTCTGGGAGGCAAAGCCTGGCACTAACGTTGTTGCCCACCCTGCCAATGCTGCAGCATGCACAGCACAGGCAGGCACCCCACCAGCAGCAGCCAAGGTAAGCAGAGATGCCCGGTGCTCATCCAGACTCCTGCCTGCTGCACGCACCTGTGTGTGCACCTTGAGAAAACTAAAGAGGGAAGATAAAGAGGCTCCCAACCTACACAGAGGTGGTCAGTGGATTACTGATGAACTCATCTGCGGCCAAAAATGCTCTCCCCTGCTCTTAGGGAATTTAAAGTCTAGCTGAATGGTTGAACATGAACCCTTTGGAGAAAGATGTGGAGCCTGGAGGGGAATTATGGGTGGTGAGCACGCAGGATGATCACAGGAGGGGGAAGGGCAGGGAGGGGCTGGGGAGGGGGATATTTAGACCACCTGGAGATGCATTTAGAAAGTATTGTGTTTGGCCAGGTGTAGTGGCTCACACCTATAATCCCAGCCCTTTGGGAAGCCGAGGGTGGCGGATCACAAGGTCAGGAGTTCGAGACCAGCCTGACCAACATGGTGAAACCCCATCTCTACTGAAAATACAAAAATTATCTGGGTGTGGTGGCTGGTGCCTGTAGTCCCAGCTACTCAGGAGGCTGAGGCAGGAAAATCACTTGATCCCAGGAGGCGGAGGTTTGCAATGAGCTGAAATCTTGCCATTGCATTGTAGCCTGGGCGACAGCGCAAGACTCTGTATCAAAAAAAAAAAAGAGTATTGTGTTCAACACTCCTATTTCATAGTGAGGAAATGGAGGCCCAGAGAGGGAAAGTGGCCTGCCCAAGGTCACAGTCACAGGAAGTTAGTAGCAGAGCTAGAACTTGGACCCAGGACTTCAGGACTCTCTGCTGGATTTGGGCCTCCTGTGCAGCCCAGGGAGCCCTGAAGTGCAGGAAGGGTTGAGGTACGCACCGGTGGGCAGGAAGAAGGAGTGAGGCAAGGTGCAGAGGTGGGAACCTTGTCGAGCAAGGGAGAGGAGCTGGAATTACAGGCAGGACCTGGAAGGAGGGAGCCACACAGAGCCGGAAAGCCAGGCTGAGCACTGCAGACCGCAGAGGATTTCATGCCCATGCCAGCCGGGAAGATACAGGTGTGGGAGAGGCACAAGCCCACGAGACCCAGTGAGATAGCAGGTGACATGACAGCAAGGCAGCCAGGAGACGGGGAAGAGCAGCTTGGGAGTCAGGCAACCTCTGTTCAAATGGCTTTGGAGCACGTCGTTTCTCTTCTCTGACCCTCAGTTTCTTTATCCGCGGAGTGGGAGAGAATAATCTTTTCCTTTCAGGGTTATGGTGGTGACCACAGAATACATTTGGAAGTGCTCTGTAAACTGCAGAGTGCTGGGTAATGTAGTGTTTTGAGTTGTGTTTTATTTTCCAAAGGCCTCAGTAAACATTTATGGAACTGACAGATATTGGATTGGGCAGTCTCCTCATGGCCACCGGCAGAGGAACCACAAATGGAGGGAGCCCGGGCGAGGGTGGGAAGGAAGGAGAGCTCCAGTCTTAAATGTCAGTCTCCCGCTGACATCTTTACAGCATAACTCAAAAAGCCTTTTTGGGGGGAAACAGTCCTACCCCAATCCATGTGACTCAAAATGCCCCATCTCTTCCTTTGCCCATGTATTCAAGGGGCACCATATCAGATGTCACTATTCTATGTGTTCTTCAGCCATCCCCACCAGCATCTACCCCTCAGGCACTCACCAGCTCCTCCTGGGTGGGCCCAGACGTTGTATTTGTTTGCAAAGCCTTTCTGAACAGCAGAAAAGGTACAACAGAAACCACGGTGCTCAGCTAATATGGCCAGACTCCGGCCCTTCACCGACATTCTCGGCTCCCTGGCACCCAACCCTACCCTAATACATAAGTCCGCTCCCTCCTCTGATCTCCTCGGCAATGGAGTCACCAGGGCAGGGCTTACTGGCCCACTTGACAGATGAGAATACAGAGCTGGAAGAGGGGCTGGAACCCCGCAGCGTGAAACCTAGAACAGCCTCACCCACACCGTGGGAGTTGCCCTGCTGGTGAGGCATGATCTCATCAGGGCTGGAGGTATTTGCCTCATTCACGGAGGAAGAAATGGCCGCTAAAGGCAAGGACCTGCTTGACGGGAACTTCTCCAGAGGGTTCTTTTCTGCCACTACATCCAGACAAGGGGTCCGTGTTGCCAGTGGTTTCCTAGTGCTGCCGTGGCAAATGACCATGCACAGCACCTTAAAACGACATACGTGTACTCTCCCACAGTCCTGAAGGCCAGAAGTCCTAAGTCAGGGCATTAGCAGAGCTGTGCTCGCTCCTAAGCTTCCATGCCTCCCTCTGACTGCCCATCCCTGCCCCCTGTGTTTATGGTCCCTATGCCCGTTGCCCTGAAGAGACACAGGACCCAATCCAACATGGGTCAGTTCCACAGATGTTTACTGAGGCCTCTGGAAAATAAAACCCAACCTCAAATATTGAATTTGCTTAGCGCTCTGCAGTTTACAAAGCCACTTCCAAAGGCATTCTGCAGTGACCACAATAACCCTGAGAGGGAGAATCCTCCCTCCCGTCTTCCAGCTTCTGGTTCCCAGCATCCCTGGGCTCATGGCAGCATCACGCAATCTTGCCTGTCTTCACAGGCTGTCTCTGTGTGTCTGCGCCTCTCCTCCCCGTAGGACAGCAGTCACTGGAGTCAGGATGAGCTCATCTCAAGATCCTTAACTTAAATACATCTACGAAGACCATTTTTCCAAATAAGGTCACAGTCACGGGTAGAGGAGGTAAGGATGTGGACATACATTTTGGGGACACTGTTCAGTCCACATTGGTGTCTTTCCCCCACTGGCAGCACAAGGGGGTCCAGGAAGGTCAGCCTCCTCCTTTTGTTCTTCCCTCAACTTCTCGCTGCGTCAGGGAGGGTCTCCTGTGGCATCTTCTCCTCTCTGGTCACGCTATGGAGGAGAAAGGAGGCTAAAGCCATATAGGGTCCTTGCTGGGGCATAGCGTTGGGGACTTACCTCCCTCTGACCCCCTTTCCTACCACTTCACAGTCTGGCTTTTCAATTTTTTTTCCTTCCTTCCTTCCTTCCTTCCTTCCTTCCTTCCTTCCATCCTTCCTTCCTTCCTTCCTTCCTTCCTTCCTTCCTTCCCTCTTTCTTTCTTTCTTTCTTTTTCCAGAATCTTGCTCTGTCACCCAGGCTGGAGTGCAATGGTGAGATCTCTGCCTACTGCAACCTCTGCTTGCCAGGTTCAAGCAGTT